TTTATTAAATTTTCTTTTGCTTTTTACATTAATATTGTTTTTAATATGTAAAACAATGATTATATTATTATACTTTCGTATTGTTATTGTTTTACATAAAAAGATTTTGAAACATCATTTCATTATTTTGAAACTGAGATAGTACATATATACATATTAAGTGCGAGTAACGAATACGATACTTGTGAGACTGCCTCATCTGGTTTCGAGTCATGTTGCGAGGCTTTTACCGTGTTTAAAGTCTGTGAATGTGTCTGAATTTTCGGTTACTCAAACTGTATCATAAATGCAGATCAGAGTTGGACAAATTTTATCTGAAATAAAGATAAAAAATAAAAATTTGAAATAACAATTTTTTACTAAATTATTATTTTTATTTGAAAAATAATAAAAAGTAACTTTATCGTGGATTCAGAACAAATAAATTATTTGTAAATAATCTTTTATTTAAATTCATTCATTGATATAAAATAATAAATAATTTTGACAGAAGGTAAAGTTTATACAATAGAATATTTGAGAAGTTATTTATAGAAATAGATACAAAAATCAAATAAAATCCAAATAATCAAATAATTTAAAAAAAAAACATTTGTTCAAATAAATGTTGATTATTTCAAGATAAGATAACGTAGAATTATTTCAATTTAAATAAGACGATATACTATTTAAATAATCGCTTTTCATATATTTTATTTAAATAATGTCCATACCTGATGGAAATATTCGAATGAACACGAGCAATTGGTTATATTATGAAGAATTTCATTCTAATCGTAAATGGTAATATCTTTTCTTACAAATTTTCTATACAAATCACAATTTTGGACATTAATAATAAAAAATTAGTATTTGAGTATTAATAATAAATAATTGATAATTAATACATAATACATATGTATCTAATATACAATATATACGTATATTTAATACATACGTACACATGTATGCACAAACATGCATGCGTTAAAGCCGTATATTAAACACATATAATATATACATGCACATCACCTTGAATATAATATATACACATATAATATATACATGCAAAAGTACCTTGAAAAATTGATTCTAACAATATTGAATTTTATGAAAATGTACGAATTAATTAATAGAAATGATATTTACTACCATATTATGAATTTTACAAACTATAAATGTTTAAATTATTTATAGTTTATTTGTTAAAGTAATTAACAACAACATATATATTTTAATTTCAATTAAATACGGAATTTATCAGTGAATCAATAAATTATCTTATTTAATTATCTTATTAAATTGTTTTATGTTATTTATATCAATATATTGTAGACTTAATTATTATATTAGGATGCTTTCATACAGCGATTTGTATCGCGATGCAAGGTGAATGTGAAAATATATAGTCTTATGAAGCCTTTCGATGATTGTCGCGCGATTCAGTATGTAATATCAATATCTGAAGAATTTCGGTCGCTGGCGACGTTTTATGATATCGATAACGTAACGTCAAACAGATCGATTGATGCTAGATTGTAGGACATAGAATAAAGACAAGCTTGAACATTGTCGAAATAAAATATTTGAAAAATTATTTGAATAACTACATTTTATGTGACTTGATGTCATTTAGAAATAAATAGAATTTTATTTGAATAGATAATTTAAAGAGATAGTGTTTTTCAAAATTATTTTATTTGACTATCAAATAGTATATTTAATTATGAACAAAATTTTTTACTATTCATAGTAATGTATGAATTTGTAAAGTTTTTAAGAATAAAAGTATCTTTATTTACCATCTTTAATATGATGTAAAATCGTCTTTAGAAAAAACGAAATAAAATAGACTATTACTACTACATTATATATTTTTTTAAATTTTATGACTAAATGTAATTTTAATTTTAACTACTACAAATGTTTCTAACACAGATGAGGTATGTAAATCATATATATATATTATCATATACCTTATCTATGATTCTAGATTATAAAATAAAAAATATTATTGATGATATAATATAAATCATTTTATGATTTATATTATATTTATGTTATATATGATTTATTTAGATTTATGTTATATTTTATTTACAATGATAGACCTATATTATTAAGTATTTCATTTGTATCTTAATATTTATGATACAAACACAGTACAAATAAAATACAAATAGCATTTGTTAGAACCTCACCAGTGATTATAGTTATCGTACTATGATAATGTTAAACAGATGTTAAAACAGGATCCTGTTATCCCAAAGCGCAGACGAGGTTATATATCTTGTCTGTGTCTATGCCCAAAGATACGTACTCTGTCGCATTTATTACACAAATGAGATTTCACTATTTAATCAATTTCGACAATTTTTTACAAGTTTCTAAGTTAGTCAATACTAACAGATATTATGTCTATTCTGTATTTCATTTGTAGTCATCAACAATTCTAAAGATGTCGCACATAGTTTAAGACTTGACTTGCTCCATGTATCACCACGTTCATTAAATAATTCTCGAAGCAGATGTGGCAATACTGTCTATGTGCAATATTTTTTAATTTTAAAGTTCATCACTAGTAGTGCTGCAGTGCAAAACTTACCTCAATCGGTACGACAGGATGTGACACGAAAATGGTAAGGGGGTCCCGAGACCCCCCAATCGTGGACCTAAAAAATACATGGTATGCGAGGTCTGTTCATATACCTCGTCTGTGGACGTGACATGCAACGAGATAAACACTTATTCATTTTTATAGTAATTGTGATCAAATTATAGAAAGTTAATTTCTATCATTATTTATATTTTCTTTGTGAAAAATTAAATTCTTTTTTGTTGCACTGTTTCATTTTTACATGACCTTGTTACATGTTTCATTTTTACAACCTTGTTAAGATTGTGTAACATGTCCATCAATAATTTATGTATTTATTTGTTACATTTATCTATTAATTCTAGGAAATATTCTCAAAGAAGAATAACGAATGAAAATAATGAGTAATTATCTGTATTTTCTAATTCAAAGTTATAACACTTGCATATGTATTTGGAAGTTAATGATTTTGTTCTATATTTATTTACGTATGTATTTTTTATTTTTTTAAATTCACGATTACATTTGCATTGTCTTTGCAAAATCAATTCAATAGAGCTATTTTATAAAAATAATAATTAATATTGAATGCTTAAGGATCACTTTTTACAGAACTACATTTTTGATCAATAAATCAATTTAATTAATTTAAGTCATTTTCAATGAAAAATGATTTGCGTCATATAAATATACTTGTATGTTATTGTTGTTAAAACTACCAATGAATTATGTTATAAGAAAAAAACAAAAACTGAAAAACAAAAAGATATTTGCATGACATAAGTTTTATATAT